TGATCATGATAGCAACGATTTGATCGCATCACAGACCATGTAATATCAAAAAGTAAGCACATATGTTCAAATTGTATACGTGTTCTTTACAAGTGAACGATTTCGTCACACGACTTAACGAATTCAACTGTTTACCGCGAAGGTGAGCTGCCAGTTATCCTTGATTTGATTGTCGTTCAGTTTTGTTCCAACACAACTGTCCTGGTTTGTACATACGGTATTTATAAAAAATCGAAAGTGAAATTAACATTTGTTGTTTGTCGACGCGCTAAATATCAGATTATTATAAGATGGTACCTGTTCTATGTAGGTGTGTGTTATGCAACTTCAGCGAATACAATGGGAGGACAAGCTTATATAATTAATTTCGTTCCAGACCAATGCGCGTGCTGGAAGTGTTTGAATCTCTTTGTTGAAAAATAAACACAGACAACTACACTTTAATAAAATCTCAGTTTAACACTAGCACTGCCTAAAATTCCAGAACATTGCATTGTCAACTAATATTAATTATTCACATAGCATCACTCTTTGCTTCTGTACAAGGTGATTCACAAGTCGTGACCAAAAATGAAACATAATAAATTTTAAGGTTAAGGTTAAGTTTGTTTGAAAAAATAAAAAAAGAAGAAAATATTGAAAAAAAAACAAAAAAAGCAGATCAGTAAAAAAGAACAATCTTATAAACAAAATAGAGAAAAGGAAAAAATAAGTAAAAAGTATTGGATAAAAAAAAAACAAAAAAAAAGAGAAATATGTGTTTATGTAAGTATAATAGAAATAATATACAATAGTAATATTAAGTAATGGATATTCTATTTTCTATTAAAGCATAGCATTATACTGAACATAAGGATCTGGCCAGTTGGTCATCGACCAGTGCCAATAACAGAACAAAAAAAAATAATTTTAAGATGGGTCTTCTATGTAACATTTTCTCCTCGAGGGGTAAAATAAAAACACATTTTTTAACATCATCAGAACCGTCAACCGGAATGAACTAAAATTTGGTACGTGAGGGGATTAGTGGCATTGTTTTTCCAAATAAAAATAGTACACCGCTGTTTTTTCTTGGCGCAATTTTTTGAATTTTACCTTTAACTTGCTGCAAATAATTACTGTTGCGCTTTTTTTTCCTAGAGTACATTGTTTTCGTAAAAATTAAAAAAATTAGATAGTCAAAGATCTGTTTCAATAAATGTTCAAAAAGACCACCATTCTGACGGATACAGGTGCGGCATCTTTTTATTAAAGAAAAAACGTGTTTCCACAAATTTTATTGTGACTTGAATTTTATGAAACGCATTATCTATTCTTTCTTGTAGATACCTCTCAGGCTAATGTACTGTCCCATTTCTGCCAATCCATCGTTGTTTAAAATGATTACTTAACCATGCGGTTACCACATTCTACTAAATTCCATTTCACAACACACAAAATGGAAAAAAGAATCTTTTGACCTGTTTTATACAAAAAAAAAAAATGTTACTAGTAACGATAACAACCGTATAATACACAACTTTGTCAAGCTATCTCTCAAGAAACGTCAAGCTGGTATCAGGGCCTCCTATTTTATTTTGAAACTAATTGTATCTCAGCTCTTCATGCATAATAATAATATTATGTAAGTTTGATAATAATAATATAAGTTTATTCACGTATAAAGTAATACAGTTTATTGAAAATAAATATGCATATTTACGCAAATAGACAAATAATTTCACAGAAGAATTTAGTTCTTGTGCGTGGGAAAACATTTTTCATAACAATTTTTGCTTAAAACAGTTATATACAGTTAATACATAAATTTAAACACAACATATCCATAAAGGTAAGGCTAATAATATTATATTCAAATACTAATTTATTTTCATTTTAGTGAGTTTTTCTATTTCATGTCGATTATTATTCACAAGAATTTTTTTATTTCAATTTTGAATCTATTTTTAGTTGAAATGGATTTTATATGGCTTGGTAAAAAGTTATAAAATCTAGTACACAGGTTATTGAAGCATCTTTGACCTACATTTCTTGTTGTAAATGGTGTTCTTTTAATATCCTCGATTTTACTTCTTGTTTCATATTTGTAGTCCATTGAAATGAGGTTTGTTTAATTTTTGAATAAATTGATCAAAACATTGTGAAAAAAGGGTTGCCTAATATCGAGTAGTCGCGCTTCGGAATATAACATATCAGGCGGATACAGAATTAGCCATTCAAAAATAATTTTCAAAAATTGTTTTTGGTTTATTTCTAGCTTATTGATTTAGTTGGTGAGAGCACCAGCCCAAGCTAGCATGGAATAATTTAGGCGACATTCAGTAAGTGCTTGATACAACATCTTCATTGTTTCATGGTCTAGATATTTAGTGAGTTACTTGAATTTAAATAATAATCGTCTTAAATTAGTTACTATACGAGTATATGATCAATATGGAAATTCCACTTTAAATGAGGAACCAAATGAACACCTAAATATTTGTTTTACCAGCTGAATGTATCAATGTATTGTCACATTTAATTTGTAAAGAGGTAAACGACGGTAATTTATTTTTAAGGTTTGTGAACGGCATATACTTGGCTTTCTGAAAATTGGTTGTTAGATATTTGTGTCTAAACCAATCTGAAATTAAAATGTCATTTTCAACAGTCTCTGTAAGATTATCCCAGGAATTGTTATTAGAATAGAGTATCGTTGTGTCATCTGCAAAACATATTATTGTATCTTGCGACTTCAAGCTAACGAGGCTATTGATGTACACAGTAAAAAATAAGGGGCCTAAAATTGTCCCTTGTGGTAGACCATAAGTCACAGTTTTTTCTGAACTTATGGAATCATTTATTTGAGCATATTGCTTTCTGTAAAACAGGTAACCTCTCATGAGGTTTTGAGCGTTTCCTCTGATTCCTGCATCGTATAAAGTTTCTAAGAGTAGTATTGATGTGATTAGCCCAGTAGTTATCCAGTTTTTTCTAGGAATTTCGTTGTATTTTATCTTAACTTTGTTGTATATATGTCATCCCAGGACTCAGTATCGAGATCTACTTTCAGCTTTTCGTAATTTATATATTCTTTGTACCTATTAATATTTTTGTTAGGTTGGTTATTGATAAAACTTTCTCGATTAAGGGGTAGTGTCAGTATGGTACCATAAAATGGTCGGTTATAGTTGATTTTACTACGAAGGCATTTATCAGATTCTTCTAATCTACTTTTAAAAAAAATGTGGTCAATGCAGGTATTGGATTCTTTAAGGACTCTAGTTAGAGTATTTACAAGCATATTTAGGTACTCATGTACAGAGCTATTGTCATCTAAGATATTTATATTGAGGTCACCATTCAAGACACAATAATCCGTATTAGGAATGAAATCATTCAAATAGTTCAATGATAAACTGCTATTCATTACGAAAAGGTGGCCTGTATGTTGATACTATTGTGATAGCAATTCCAAATATATACTAAGTGACATATAAATCCGAACACCCAGTTTAAATGGTTTTATTTTAATAAAAGTTGGTGAATGTATTTATCTTACTGTAAATAACAAGTGAAAAAATGTTCAGCCTTATCAGTTGGACATTCCGGTTTTTATACTGCTTTTTTTTAATTCACTAACGCTCTAAAAATGAATATTTCAGCTGCAGTAAAGAATCGACGTTGGCGGATTTTGGTTCTTGACATCCTTGACGATCGGTTACGATGCCTAGAGTACGGAGACCTGTACGATTTCGTCAACTTAGTGAGTTTGATAGGGGCCGTATAGTGGGACTTCGAGAAGCTGGACTTTCTTTTCGGGCAATTGCAGTTAGAGTGCAAAGAGGTGTAGACACTGTGGTTAGGTGTTGTCAGGCATGGCTTCGAGAAGGCCGTACGCAAAGAGCAAGGGGCACTGGACGCCGCCGTAGAACAACAAACCGTGAAGATCGCCGCCTAAGATTATTGGCCTTAAGGGACCGTTTCTCCACTACCAGGTCCATTGCAAATGAATGGTTTGCAGAACACGGCAGACCTATTGGCATGCGAAGTGTTTACCGACGAATGAGAAGTTTTGGCTTGTTTTCATACCGGCCACACTGGGTCCTCCCTTTAACTCGAGAACACCGACGTAATCGCCTTGAGTGGTGCAGACAACGGTCACTCTGGAATCAGGAATGGAACAGTATTGTCTTTAGTGACGAGTCTCGATTTTGTTTAGGCATGCACGATGGTCGTGCCAGGGTTAGAAGGCGACGTGGTGAAAGGAGGAATCCACAGTTTTTTGTTGAAAGACATGTTCATCACACTGTTGGAGCTATGGTTTGGGGTGCTATAGCTTATGGTTCCAGGTCACCTTTAATCTTCATCAGAGGTAACATGAACGCGCAGCGTTATATCCACGAAGTTCTAGAACCCCATCTTTTACCCTATCTTGACACTTGGCAGATCCAGCTTTCCAACAAGATAATGCCCGACCACATGTTGCAGGAGTCACAATAGACTTCTTTCAACATAATGATGTCACATTGTTACCATGGCCACCAAGATCTCCCGACTTATCCCCAATTGAGCACGTGTGGGATATGATGGGTAGGAGATTGCTCAATTTGCAACGTCCTCCTCAGACTCTAAAAGCACTTCGAGAGGAGTTGGTGGTTATCATTTACTAATTGTGCTTCATTAAGTACTTATACAAAATTTTATTAAAATAAAACCATTTAAACTGGGTGTTCGGATTTATATGTCACTTAGTATAATTTAGAGCATGCTTTTGTACAAAAAGCCAAAAAAGACAGCATATAAAACAGTATTCTATTCTAGAGTATTACCACTAAAAAAGCTACTTCGAAGTTATATAAAAAAGCAAGCAGAGGGTTCCTTAAAGAAAAAATGATATTTTGGTAAAAGTTACATCCTAATCTTTCATTTCATTTTAAAGTAAGAAATGAAGTATTTGCGACATGCGCTAAAGTATAGCGTTTTTTTAGTATCCATTCATAATGGAGAAAATTACTTACAGTGCTATCTTGGTCTGTCTATGTGCTGCAGTTCATGTTCGATCAAGGCTGAAATAAAAGAAGAATAGTTATCAAATTATGCCATCTTTTGACTATAGCATCGTATACAATGAGATTTGTGCATCAAATGAGCAAATCAGACTAATATGTAGTTAAAAATGGGTATAATTTTAGGTTTGGAATGTTCTTCAAGGAATTCATCCTTGGAAAGCTTGTACCATCTCAACCACCTCACAGTATGTTTCACAGAAACATCGCACAGCAAGACACAGTTAGTTGAATTAATATTCGTAGAGCAGCAAATTCAAGAGCTTGCCATGAGGAAACTGGCGCTACGCTCAGAATCAATGTAAGAACTTATGCACTAAAAATTTTGCATTAATCTGACAGAAACTGAAATTGTTAAATTCATCGACGAATTGTGGTCCAGACGTTATGCTGACAGACCGAACAGTCATTCACATTGCCGATAAAAATCTAGATAAATTTTTCCGGTCAGTGGAGGTGGAAAAGAAGTAGGGTCAACAAGCATATCTTTCACCACGCCAGCCCAAACATTTAATGAAAATCTACAGTGAAAACGAGTTCTTTTTACAGCATGCGAATTTTCTACTTCCCAAACATGATTGTTTTGGAAATTGTGCACTCCATTTCGTGCAAATGTGGCCTCGTCTGTACACAACTTGAGCTGCTATGGCTCTAGTACCCATTGTTGGGTCGTCTTGGATCATTTATAAAATGTCTTCCTCAATTTGTAACACTACAGCGTGACCTCCTCGGTGTTATTTTAAATATCCTGCGCCAGGAAGTGTAATAACTAAATTTACAAACATCCGTGTACTCGTATACGCACTATTAAAAGACTGATACAACTGATCGAACCAAAGACTCGCACTGAAAACCATACAGTAACACAAACAGTTTGCCAAATTTAGATAAACGGTAAGAGAAGTAATAACTATGTAATAATATTCTCATTTTTTTAAATTTTTAATATTTTACCATTTCTTTAATTATGCAACTTTTATATAGGTGATTTTTGGTAAAAAAACTCCTTTTGACGAGTACTACCAGCAGCTAAAATAAATGATTCAACTTGGAAACAGTCTGTATACATATAGATTCAACTTGTATCTATTCAATGTAACTGTAACTTATATCAAATACAATAGGTAAAATTTTTCAATCGGGCATTCACTTTAGCCTTCCTTTTCTGCATAAATGGTTTAAAGCCTGCTCGGCAAGCGAACCAAGACGGCCTTAATCGAAGAGGTAACATCAAAGGCCGTACCAAGCGGAACAATTCCGATCTATTAATAAATCAATGGCCGATATTGATCTATAACCTCCTCATACCTTCGCATTGCGTTGCATTCTATTTTAAGACTCGCGCCTCGCGCAAAGATGAAGATTGAATTTTCACGCAACCAGATCGCCACATCCTCGCTTGTAATTACAATGTTCGCACTCGGATCCAACGTTCGTAACTTAAAAATTAATATATGCTGTTATCGCCAATAGAAGACTTACACCGTAGGTCTAAAGTGGTTCAGGATGGGATCTTTGGTATCTGTGAACAAGATAGTCTCCAGGAAAAATATTTTTGACTAAGAGGAGTCCGAACGTGATATGGTGTCAATCTCAACCTATTATTGTACTTTTAGCGGTTAACAAGATAGCATCGAACACACGCATGACTTTTTTACAGTCACCCTTACTTGCAATACAACTGAAATATATGCATAAATTAATAAATAAATAAAATATAATAATATAATAATCCACACCAAACAGTGATTTTTTCGGGATGCATTGGTAACTCTCGCAATGCTTCTGGCTGGTCTTCACTCCAGATGCGGCAATTTAGCTTGTTAACGTACCCATTCAACCAGAAATGAGCTTCGTCGCTGAACACAATTTTTCGATAACAATGTGGATCTTCCTCCAACTTTTCCAGCGCCCATTCACCAAATTGGAAACGTTGTGGGAAGTCGTGTGGCTTCAATAATTCTTGCACCAGCTGTATCTTATAAGGTACCCAAATACCCAAATCCTGTCGCAAAATTTTCCTCGTAGTGGAGTAACAGAGGCCCAATTGCTGCGAATGGTGGCGAATCGACATTTCACGGTCATCACTAACACTGGCGGATACAGCCGCAATATTTTCTTCAGTCCTCACTCTAAGTCTTCGTGTTGGTGGTTTAATGTCCAATAATATACACTGGGTTCGAAATTTAGTCACTAGCTTCCGAATAGCTCCCTCAGTAGGCCGACCAAATTGCCCACAAATTGGAAGCAGTGCTCGATGCACTCTCTTAACCGAGCATGAATTTTGATAGTAAAATTCAATAATTTGCAAGCGTCGTTCGTTCGTAAGTCGATTCACGATTAAATTATAGACCAAACTATACAAGTTTGACCATGACACAAGACCCGATTCACGCGTCATCTGTCAAAAACAGTGTTGCCAAAAAGATACTAGCAAAAAAATCACCCATTATTTTATTAAAAGTTTTGTAAGTGGAGTATACGTTTGATAAATACTCTGATATGCATTTAATGTACGTATAGGCAAGGTGTAATGGTTTAAAAGGACGAAGACTGAACGCTGACAGATTCCCTAATAGACACCTGCCTACTTTAAATACTTTCCAACGAATCGATCAGCGGTCACGAGAAGCTGGTAAAAAATGATTATAGTCTTATTTTGAGTAGTAAAAACCATTTGGATTTTGCTGAAAATATGGGCCGACATAGTAGAGATACTTTCTTTGGAAATCCTACACTTGGGGTTAGGAATGTAGCTCGAGAATGTCAAGTTTCCAAATGTACAGTAAATAGCATTTTTCCAAAGCAACTGCTACATCCATACCACCTGCAAAAAGTACATGGTTTAAGCGCGGATGATGAACCAGCAAGGGTAGAATTTTGTACATGGATCTTAAGGAAGTTTAACCACGATAGTTATTTTCGGATGAAGTAGGATTTGGAAGGGAAGATCTAGGTACCTCTGAAGCTGTTTTATAATCGTTGCATACTATGTTTTATATTAATTTTAAAAACGTTCAAACAACTATCCGGTAAAAGCTGTGTTAGCCATAATAAAACAATTGAAAGAAAAAAATTGCTGCACAAGAGTGCGCCATTTTTAGGCTTATAAGCGTTGCATAAAAGATGTTAGAACGCTTCAAGCGGCATTGTTGTTTTAAAAAAATATACTAAGTAACATATAAATCCCAACACCCAGTTTAATGGTTTTATTTTAATAAAAGTTGGTGAATGTATTTATCTTACTGTAAATAACAAGTGAAAAAATTTTCAGCCTCATCAGTTGGTCATTCCGGTTTTTATACTGCTTTTTTTTAATTCACTAACGCTGTAAAAATGAATATTTCAGCCGCAGTAAAAAATCAATGTTGGCGGATTTTGGTTCTTGACATCCTTTACGATCGGTTACGATGCCTAGAGTACGGAGACCTGTACGATTTCGTCAACTTAGTGAGTTTGATAGGGGCCGTATAGTGGGACTTCGGGAAGCTGGACTTTCTTTTCGGGCAATTGCAGTTAGAGTGCAAAGAAGTGTAGACACTGTGGTTAGGTGTTGTCAGGCATGGCTTCGAGAAGGTCGTACGCAAAGAGCAAGGGGCACTGGACGCCGTCGTAGAACAACAGACCGTGAAGATCGCCGCCTAAGATTATTGGCCTTAAGGGACCGTTTCTCCACTACCAGGTCCATTGCAGATGAATGGTTTGCAGAACACGGAAGACCTATTGGCATGCGAAGTGTTTACCGACGAATGAGAAGTTTTGGCTTGTTTTCATACCGGCCACACTGGGTCCTCCCTTTAACTCGAGAACACCGACGTAATCGCCTTGAGTGGTGCTGACAACGGTCACTCTGGGATCAGCAATGGAACAGTATTGTCTTTAGTGACGAGTCTCGATTTTGTTTAGGCATGCACGATGGTCGTGCCAGGGTTAGAAGGCGACGCGGTGAAAGGAGGAATCCACAATTTTTTGTTGAAAGACATGTTCATCACACTGTTGGAGTTATGGTTTGGGGTGCTATAGCTTATGGTTCCAGGTCACCTTTAATCTTCATCAGAGGTAACATGAACGCGCAGCGTTATATCCATGAAGTTCTAGAACCCCATCTTTTACAATATCTTGACACCCTGGCAGATCCAACTTTCCAACAAGATAATGCCCGACCACATGTTGCAAGAGTCACAATAGACTTCTTTCAACATAATGATGTCACATTGTTACCACGGCCACCAAGATCTCCCGACTTATCCCCAATTGAGCACGTGTGGGATATGATGGGTAGGAGATTGCTCAATTTGCAACGTCCTCCTCAGACTCTAGAAGCACTTCGAGAGGAGTTGGTGGTTGCCTGGAATGAGATACCACAGGAGGACATTGACCACCTGATCAGAAGCATGCCTAGGCGCGTTGGAGAATGCGTAGCACATCAGGGTGCATCCACACATTATTAAATGTCAAAAGGCTTTAAAGCAGTGCAATCATTTTGAAATTTTTATCATTTACTTGCTGCTTCATTAAGTACTTATACAAAATTTTATTAAAATAAAACCATTTAAACTGGGTGTTCGGATTTATATGTCACTTAGTATAGTTCTGTAAACATTGTTAGGACGCTTGTAAGACATAAAATTGTTAGTTGGGGAATCAATTAGTTGCAATCCATTACTATTGACTATCGGTATATGCTTCCTTATCGACAACAACAAGCACTTATATCGCGCAACTTATTACCTTTAAGTCATAAAACACATCTTTGTGGTATGTTAGTTTCAATTCGACTGACTCCGTTCTCTCTCGCTTGCAACGAAACGTATTTATAAGGTAGTGATACGGGTACTAGAATTCATACACACAGGGCTTTACGATATCGTTTTGCTATTTCACAACCTGCAATTATCGACTGATTTTATGATCTCATGCACGAATCTTTCAGCTGCGAATGCCGTATAAACCTTTTTTTATGATCGTGCTGGTCGAATGTTATAGCGCAACAATAAAGT